ATCACTATCAATACAATGATTGACGAGTGTTTGGATCACATCTCAAGATTATCAGCGCTGCAGACACTTGTCATGCAATGCCATAAAGACATTGATATCAATAATTATGATTTCTCTGATATGTTGTCAAAAACTCCTAAACTAACGATTAAATTGAGTGTAAAATAGACCTAAAATTAACTGAAATATAATGAACTTTTGCAGTAAAATTCGGTGTAGTATTTAATATTGTTTTAAAATTTTATTGATTTAATGACACAAAAATTTATAAAAAAAAATTCTCATTTAGTGTATAGAATATATGAATTTTATTCTAATTGTTATAATAATGTATGTATAATAATATTATATGAAATTTATTACTAAATACAAAAAATGACACTTAAATTGATTAAAACATTTATGAGGAAATGTCAACGGCTTTAGTGAAGACACCATTCTTTGGAGTCATTGATATAACTTTAAAGTCCCGCTGAATGTCACCCAACTCTGTATTGTGAGAGGGAATGAAAGCGTATTGATTGAGTAATTTGGCCATGGACAATTTCATTTCCAATAATGCAAATCGCATTCCAATGCAATTTCGAGGACCCGTTCCGAAGGGCTGCCAAACGACTGGATTTATTAAATGCTTGTTTTCGTCGGAAAATCTTTCCGGAATAAACTCCTCGGGTTCTGACCACAGCTCTGGATCTTTTTGTAGGAAATACAGGGGAACCCGAAGATCAACTCCTTTTGGAAGTGTTAATCCATTGTATGGATAATCAGTTTTGGGCATTCTTGAGATGAATGTAGTGATGGGCGGGTATATGCGTAACGTCTCATATATGACAGACTCCATGTACTTTAACTTCGTTANGAGGACAGCCGCTGGCGAGAGATGAGAAGCACTTTATCGCCCACTTTTAGTGGCGCTAAACTTAAGCAAATGACACCAATTATAGAGTCAGCGATCGATCAGTTTGTTAATCGTGTTGAAGAGCATAAGAAGTTAGACAAAGAGATAGATATTTACGATTTGGCTCAGGATTTAACGATGGATACGATCGCCAAATCGGGCTTTGGTTTTGATTCGGGCGCACAAACAGAGACCGAACGCCAAGTGATTAATGCGGCAAAAAAGTCATTTCAAGTACAAGTGTCACAATTCTTCCTATTTATCTCATTCCTGTTCCCCGAGTTCTTATGGGTTATAAATCCCTTCCGATTAGTGGCTGAAATGATTAGCGATTATTTGGGTCAATCCAGTCGAGGATTTTTGCTAAAAGTTAGCGATCAATTGATTAAACAAAGACGGGAACAAAAGGGTGACAAACAAAAGGATTTGTTGCAAATGATGATTGAATCGGAAGGAACTGATATCTTATCCAATGACAAGCTGTCAGTCAGTAGTGATATGAATAACGATACTGTCGTCGACTCTAATGTGAGGATCAATAAGAAGACAAAGATGACCGACGATGAGATCGCAGCCAATTCTGTGCTTTTCTTTGAAGCCGGATATGAGACGACGAGCACTGCTTTGGGATATTTAATGCATATCTTAATTAATAAACCAGAAATTCAGGAAAAGTGTAGACAAGAAGTGAAACAATTACTGGAATCGGAGGGACGACTGGATTACAATACCGTAACGAAGTTAAAGTACATGGAGTCTGTCATATATGAGACGTTACGCATATACCCGCCCATCACTACATTCATCTCAAGAATGCCCAAAACTGATTATCCATACAATGGATTAACACTTCCAAAAGGTGTTGATCTTCGAGTTCCCCTGTATTTCCTACAAAAAGATCCAGAGCTGTGGTCAGAACCCGAAGAGTTTATTCCGGAAAGATTTTCCGACGAAAACAAGCATTTAATAAATCCAGTCGTTTGGCAGCCCTTCGGAACGGGTCCTCGAAATTGCATTGGAATGAGATTCGCATTATTGGAGATGAAATTGTCCATGGCCAAATTACTCAATCAATACGCTTTCATTCCCTCTCCCAATACAGAGTTGGGTGACATTCAGCGGGACTTTAAAGTTATATCAATGACTCCCAAGAATGGTGTCTTCACTAAAGCCGTTGACATTTCTTCATAAATGTTTCAATCAATTTAAATGTCATTTTTTGTATTTAGTAATAAATTTCATGTAATATTATTATACATACATTATTACAACAACCAGAATAAAATTCATATATTCTATACACTAAATGAAAATTTTTGTATCATTAAATCAATAAATTTTCAAAACAATATCAAACACTTAACCGAATTTTATTGCAAACGTAATTATATTTCTGTTAATTTTAGGTTTATTTTACATTCAATTTAATCTTTAGTTTAGGAGTTTTCAACAACATATCAGAGAAATCATAATTATTGATATCAATGTCTTTATGGCATTGCATGACAAGTGTCTGCAGCGCTGATAATCTTGAGATGTGATCCAAACACTCGTCAATCATTGTATTGATAGTGATATTTAGGTATTGAAGTCGTGGCCAATGTTTGTTGCAATTAAAGAGCCATTTGGTGTCCATTCGGTCTGAATATAATGTTAAATGTGTTAATCGGTGGCAAAGTTTCAACGGTTCCAACACTTCCTCACCGATGGACTCGTGAAACAAAAGACGTAAACGTTTTAATCGGGAATAATATCTCAACGAATCCAATGTCTGATTATTGAGGTGTGGATTATATGACAGCAATTCAAGTGACAATCGTTGCAATTGTAGACAGTTTTGGCCGATTGTACGCAAAAACATATTAAATGACTTATCGTTGAATTCAACTGAAATAAATGTTAATTCCCGTAATTGTGTTAATCGTGACAATTGTGCAGACATTTCGTTAAGAGTTTTATCAAAACTTATGTTAATTACGACAATACTTTTGATGGACTGATTCTGTGCCACAAATTCAGACAACAATTGGTTATTATCGACAGAATTATACGGAATATGAAATGAAAATTCCTTTAAATTCTTCACCAATAGTTGTCCGGAAGTGCTGTCGAAAAGTTGTTCGACTCTTAGCCGAGAGAATCGGTGACAATGATTGAGTGAATTCCTCGAGTTTATTGAATAGAGTTTAATTCTTGTGACCAGAGGTCCAAACGTATGGATCCATTGCTCACAGTTTGACCACAAATCGCAATATATTTCCCGCAAATGTCGGCAATTGTCACGAAATGTTTTCAACACTTCGGGAATGCAATGACTGTATGACAGCATTCCTCGACAATAAATGGTTTGAATATTTGGACACTTTATGGCAATTGTAGTCAATCTTATATATTCACTTATATAATCACTTATATATTTTGTTGTTATAACTCTCATTAGATTGTCATCAATAATGATGTCCACAACACTCTTGAAGACTGCTCTCTGGAACTGTTTGGACACACATTCGTAACGGAATTGGTCTTTGAGTGGAAAGTAAGACAATAGAACTTCACTCAAATCATCACCAAATCTGTCCATTGAGTTCTTCGCATAGAGTGGTGACTATAATGGGAGACAAAAACAATTAAAATTGGATAAACAATCAACTGTTTGTTAAATACATGTTTTCTGTTGCTTTCACTCAATTCATTTGTGGTCTCAATGGATGTCTTCATAATTCTTGTGCTATCACTTGGGATCAAATGAAGTGATTGTATAAATTTTTGGTTAAAAATACGTTTTAATGTATTGTTTAATAAGTTGTAAACTAAAGTCACAAAACTGTCGTAATATTAAAATTATAAGAAACTTCCGTAAAGGAAATCCCTTCTCACAGGAAAATAAATATTTTTAAAATTAAATTTGATTTAATAATTGATAATAATTTTAAAATGACTTCACTTTAAAAGTTATAAATCGTAACAAAACAAATATTTTTGATTTAAATATTTTTCTCAATATAAATATTTGATGCCAATGTATAACATCGAAAAATACTGAACAATTATAATTAAATATTATATTCTGTATTTAAATAGTTGTTGAAATTTAGCAAAACTATTATTTCAAAGTTTTGATAATGATTAAGGCTATTGGAAACAATTCAGTGATATTGCAGTTGTTTTTAATAATTTTTATGCAAATTTCTGTCACAACTGATGTCGAGAAATAAAATATAACTTTGAATTGCCATTGAGTTTAAACTAAAAGTTTGATTCAAATCATTTAATAATGATTACATTTTAATTGGTTTTTTTTATAAATAATCTAATATGAGGTCTGTTTTTGATAGCATCTAATAACGATATTATTTTCGTAAATAAGTTGTATAACAAATTGTTTATTCAGTTCTAGACATTTATTTCCAATTTATTAACAGTTGAGGACTTGAGTCCTAATTATTTTAAACCATATTACTTATTAAACTGATATATTTGTTGATATATAATGAACTTTTAAATATACTTGATTATTTAAGTTTGCAAGTGTGCAAAAATTTACTGTATAACATTTTATCAATAATTTGATTAATTTTTTCCAAAATAAATCAGACATAATTTAGCATAAACAACCAAACTATATAAACTGTAGTTTCCCCACATGTTTATCTACAAACTATAATTATATATTGAAATAAACAAAGTTTACAATTATTGGGGGAAATTATTTTCAATATTTTGTTTTTAATTAAGAATTTGAGAGAATATGTCGTTAATATTTTTAGTGATCGTAAGTGTTATAACATTGTCTGCCATTTGGTATAATCGGCGCAAAAGACTTATGAATAAACTGAAACGATATGGTATTCCGGGTCCGACTCCTCATCTAATTTATGGTAATTTCAAAGAATATCAAACCAAAGGATACGCCAAATGTCACGAGGAATGGATCCAAAAGTACGGCTGTTAACAATATTAATTATAAATACCATTATGTTTTAATATATCCAAATACCATATTACCAAATAAATTATATGTCACAAAAGTACGGCAGAATTGTTGGCTACTATTTGGGCGCAAAACCATTTGTGTTGATCGCAGACCCGGAGCTCTTGAAAATCATTCAAATCAAAGAATTTAATCAGTTCTCCAAAAGGAAACTACTTCTTGACGGAGGCATTGATATAAATCCTCGCTTTAAAAAAGATTTGATCTCATGTGAGGACAGCCGCTGGCGAGAGATGAGAAGCATTTTGTCGCCAACATTTAGCGGAGCAAAACTTAAGCAAATGACACCAATTATTGAGTCGTCAATCGATCAGTTTGTTAGTCGAGTTGAAGAATATAAAAAGTTAGACAAAGAGATGGATATTTACGATTTGGCTCAGGATTTAACGATGGATACGATCGCCAAATCGGGGTTTGGTTTTGATTCGGGCGCACAAACAGAGACCGAACGCCAAGTGATTAATGCCATAAAAAAGTCGTTTCTAACACAAGTCTCACAATTCTTCCTATTTATCTCATTCTTGTTTCCCGAGTTCTTGTGGGCTATAAATCTCTTCCGATTAATAACTGAAATGATTAGCGATTATTTGGGTCATTCCAGTCGAGGATTTTTGCTTAAAGTTAGCGATCAATTGATTAGACAAAGACGGGAACAAAAGGGTGACAAACAAAAGGATTTGTTGCAAATGATGATCGATTCCGAGGGAATTGAAATTCTGTCCAATGACAAGCTGTCAGTCAGTAGTGATATGAATAACGATACTGTCGTCGACTCTAATGTGCGGATCAATAAGAAGACAAAGATGACCGACGATGAGATCGCAGCCAATTGTGTTCTCTTCATGGAAGGCGGTTATGAGACGACGAGCAGTGCTT